TCATGCAGACAAAGGACTCCGGACTGGATGCGTTCCTCTAAGTTTTCCTACCAATATGACAAGGTAAAACAACTTTTATACAACGAAAGCATATTGCGACCACACAAAAGGCCATACCATTTTGGTCTTCATACCTTCGATTAAAAATTAAAAAATCGAATTATATTGACTTGCTGGAATGTCTTATTAATTATATTCCAATTAACAAATAATTAGATTCACGTTCAAGATTTACTGCAATTTTTAGATCTTAGCAATGTGACCGGCGTGATTCCCACATATCCCTGGGGGGTTGAACAACTAGCCAAAGCCTTTAAAAATAACTGGTGCTCCTTTTACTCCAAATGAGATTCAATTTTCCGTCTTAATGACAAATACCTCTTTTAATGCAACAGTGATATCGAGTTTAAGGACAAATATATATTAACCCTATCCATGTGCCTTTAATATAGACGCAAATGTTAAGTTTAAGGCACTAGGTTTCTGTCTTTCAACTCACATAAGTAACACTTTGATGCCTATGAAGTCTCCACATGACCTCCAGGATATAATACATGCTTAGTCTGGCCTCAATTTAAGGCAGATATTCTAGTGGGATAGAATAGCAGAGTTGAATTTTAATTTTTTTTTTTGAGGGAGCATAAACTTTAGATCTTCTGATTGAAAGATATCGATGATGCGCATTCGTTAATGGACATTCTCTATTATTATTATTTCTTTCGGGGACTTGCATCTAAAGTGATTTTCTTGGACATTCTTGAAGACTATATGAGAAACTCCCTAACTGAGGGATTCCTTTGACTCACACCTTAATTAAACCTTATCTAACAATGCATTATTGTGTATTATTACGCCAGAGGACAAATTTTGTAATTCTACATCTTCCTGAAATTAATAACAAATCTTTCACACTTTTTTTTACCCTGTGGAATACTCGGGTTCTCCATATCTGGTGAGCGCATCAGGTCTAGATATGAATAAGCCAAATATTTTCACCAATTTTGATCGGAGTACCTCTGCTAGTGGATCAGAGATCTCGCTTTTCAACACTCCTACTATCTGTAACTTTGCCGATATGCCAAGGCATCTACCTTGGCATCTGCGCTCTGCGAAGAGACATCAGCCAGTTGTTATGGCTACTGGACGCCCTATTGCCTACATACATCAAAAGCAGCAGGAGTTAGCCCATTTACTGCGCGAGGTGGTACCGCATGTGCCAGAGACTAGGGAACTTCATATCAAAGGTCTTTCTTACGAAAAACCGAATCGGGAATTTCCGCTATGCACTGACGATGGACTCACTGGGTAAGTAGAAATTTAAAACAGCACATTTTTTACTTTGGCTCAGCAAACCGTGCAAAAATGATTGTAAATTTTCAAGAAAGCATTTATCTTTGTATCATTTCATTTCATATCGAAATTCGGGTTTCAGTGATCAGTAAAAACCGAGGCAATGCCTGCTTTAGCATTAATGGCATCGGCTCATTACTCATCGAATTAGATGAGTACTTTTGTCCATAATCTGACAGACATTGTCAGAGTTGTTATACTTTTATGAATGGTATATTCCCATCTATGGCTATTGCCCAGCATATAAATGTGTTTTTTCCTCATTGGGAAATAATTCCTTTTAAATGTCATATAATAG